CATGTTTTTAGATGCCTTTTGATTTGTGCACAGCTGTCACGCTTGAGGGAGTCAAAGGAAGCAAAGTGAATTGTCCTGCAGATATAAGGCTCAAGGGAGCCAGTATACCGCTGGTGCTCAATGAAGACATAATTCCATTTTCATTTGGCTGGATCACGTAAAATCTAACACGATAGAGGCTGCTGAGCCAGTGACAGCTTACTGCTTGGAATTAATGATGAAAGCCTCACAATGTAGTGCTGATTCTGAATGTGAAAATCAAACACATGTTCCAGTTACATCTTATTAGTTACTGAAAGTGGATGTCTTTAGCCCCCCGCCAGATTTATTTTAAACCCTGCTGATTTGTTAAGTCTGCCCTAACTAACAACAAAATGATCAGTCTATAATTTCAATGGTGGGTTTATCTGAACAGTGAGACACAGAACAAAGACAAAAAATCCAGAAAAATGCATTTCAAAAAAGTTACAAACTTCTTCGCATTTTCATGAAGGAGGTAGTTGATCCTCAATATCTATCAGCAAGATTTCTGGCTCACAGGTTTATCTTACGCAGGTATCTATTCAGATTCTAAACTCTGCACCATGTCCAAGCCCAAAGCACTTTCCAAGGATGTCAGTGACAAGAATGTGGACCTACACAAGGCTGGAATGGGCTACAAGACCATCGCCAAGCTGCTGGGTGAGAAGGTGACAACAGTTGGTGCCATTATTCGCCAGTGGAAGAACCATAAAATAACTGTTAATCTCCATCGGTCTTGAGCTCCATGTAAGATCTCATGATAATGAGATAATAAGAGCAGTGTGGAACCAGCCCAGAACTATTCAGGAAGAACTTGTCAATGATCTCAAGGCAGCTGGTACCATATTCACCAAGAAAACATTTGGTAACACACTACCCAGTGAAGGACTATAATCCTGCAGTGCCTGCAAGGTTCCCCTGGTCAAGAAAGCACAGGCCTGTTTGGAGTTTGCCACTGAACATCTCAATGATTCAGAGGGGGACTGAGTGAAAGTGTTGTGATCAAGTGAGACCAACATTGAGCTATTTGGCATCAACTCAACTTTGGAGGAGGAAGAATGCTGCCTATGACTCCAAGAACCCTGTCCCCACGGTCAAACATGGAGTTGGAAACAGTATGCTTTGGGGTGTTTTTCTGCTAAGGGGACAGGACTACACTGCATCAAATGGAGGATGGATGGGTCCATGTACCATCAAATCTTGGGTGAGAACCTCCTTCCCTCAGCCAGGGCATTGAAAATGCATTGTGGGTGGGTATTCCAGCATGACAAGGCTGAAGAAGAAGCTCAAGAAGAAGCATAATAAGATTTCGGAGTGGCCTCCAGACCTTAATCCCATAGAAAATCTGTGGAGGAAGCTGAAGGTTACAGTTGCCAAACATCAGCCATGAAACATTTATGACTTGGAGAGGATCTCCAAAGAGGAGTGGGACAAAATCTCCCCTGAGATGTGTGCAAAACTTGTGGCCAACTATAAGACACATCTGTCCTCTGTGATTTGTCACCAACTGCTGAAGCACGTTTTGCAAAGGGGTCAAATACTTATTTCCTTCATGAAAATGCAAATTAATTTCTAAGTTTTTTGAAATGCATTTTTCTGGATTTGTTGGCTATTGTTTTGTCTCTTACTGTTCAAATAAACCTACCACTGAAATTATAGACTGATCATTTCTTTGTTAGCAGGTAAACGTACCAAATCAGCAGGGGTTCAAATAATTTTTTTCCCTGAGTATATGTTCCCCTGATGTGATGGGATCCAAATGCGTTAGCTTTGTGTCTGACTGAACACTTTAAAGCAGGGGTGTCCAACTCCAGGCTTTGAGGGCTGCTGTCCTCCAGGTTTTAGAGATCACCATGGGTCAACACACCTGAATCAAACGACTAGTTCATTACCAGGCCTCTGGAGAACTTCAAGACATGTTGAGGAGGTAATTTGGCCATTTAAATCAGCTGTGTTGGATCAAGGACACATCTAAAACCTGCAGGACACCGGCCCTTGAGGCCTGGAGTTGGACACCCCTGCTTTAAAGGTCATGACAGCAATCACAACTATCCATGCCTCACCTGTCAAATCAAGTAAAAAAAATGCAATAAGATTAAAACAATCCTCTGTGATCCAGAAGAAGGCTTTTTCCCTTTGACCCTGTGTGAGAGGGGCATAGCAACATCTGCAGCATCCGACATCCACACATTTCTCAAATGATGAAAAGAATGGAATTTAACTCAACTCAACTCTACTCAGTTTTATTTATATAGCAGCAAATCACAACAACAGTTACCCCAAGGTGCTTTATATTGTAAGGCAAAAACCCTAAAATATTAGAGACAAACCTTAACAATTGGATGAGACCTATGAGGAAGGACTTGTTGGAAGGAGGAAAAAAGTCCCTTTTGAACTGAAAGAAAACTCTGGGCGAACCAGGTTTGGATGGAATAGAATGTTTAAAGGTATGCTCACCCTCCTGTAGTTAAAAAGTTGTTATTATGAGGAACATTAATGTAAACGTAGCCCATGTGAGCATGGCAGAATGCTGTCACATCTCTGAAATGAGGCAGTCTTTGGCTAACGAAACAGCTTCAAAAAGCAGAGGACTCTTCTCCATCAAAGGAATAATTTATACTTGCAGTTAAGGGGGACAGAATCTCTCACGTGGCAGAGGTGATCAGCATTAACCTGCAATGTCTTCGGTTCAAAACCGGACCGTCTAATCACTCTGTACTTGTTACTGCAGACAAACTTTTTTCATAGTTTGCTTTAAAAATGTTATTTAATTTGTCTATTTATAGGGAGGACATTACTATGAATATGCCAGTTTGAATCAACTTTCATCTTCACTCCTTTGGCAAGATGCTCTCCAGCCAATTAAGCTTAGAGTTAAGTCACAGAAGCAGGATAAAAGCAACGATACAAAGAGCTTTTTTTTCTCACACTAAAAAGTAATGTCATGCTGCACACACTCATAAGGCACAATTTATCCCACAGTGTTTCATAAAATACTTCTAAATACACCCACACAGAGACAAGCACAGCTATTAGGCAAACAGCAGAGGACATGGGGCAAGTTGGTAATAAGATACCAAAACAATAATGACAAAAGATCAAAAATACATCATTTTAATGTGCACACTGAAGTCACATAACCGTAGCAGCTGCGGCTCAACAGCTCTGGCAATAGGCTTTCAAGTGTGTAGTTAAATTAAATACTATCAAACATACCTTATTATTAAAAGCACTGAGTCAAATTCTAAAAACTGGGTCATTTATGTGGGTCTTTAAGTTTTGCAAACATTGAAATTCAAAATATGCATCTGTGTGGGAGGACAACAACAGTCACTTCAAAGTGTTTTAAATTGCAAGATAAAGTCCCTAAAATATTAGAAAGAAACCCCCACAATCAGATGGCGACAGTGGGAAGGAAAACCTCTCTTTTTAACAGGATTCAGTAAGGGCTGTCTCGGTGTTCACTGTGGCACAAAGATGCGTTTTAAGCCCCACAAACACGCGCTGTTTGAGTCCTGCTTCTACTCCTGATGAGCAATGCTTGCCTTAAAGGTGATGTGCTACATTCTGTGCGCAGGCTCTGCTGTAAACCTCCGGACTTCTCGCATGTCTCTGTGTTTAATCAGAGGACTCAGTCAGCACATGGCCAGCCCCGACCTTGTCCTGTCAGATACTCTCATTCTCAAACAGACTCGCTGTGGCAGGCCGGTGTTAGTGAAGGGAGCATCCCAAAAACCCTCTGGCTGGGCCATCCAGCACCCACTGATGCTTAGCTGTATGGCAGCGCTGAAAGAAGGAAATCTTATGAAACACACTGTAGATGACTGTTTCATTATATTCTTTTTTTAAGATCTCAGTGTGCCACCACATGTCTGTATGATCAATTTGTATAATTAAACCAGTCTATGTTTTTGCTTAACCCTGTATCTGTATCGGAGCCTTTGTAGTCACTATGCATTTTGGTTCTTTGTGTCATTATTTTCATAAGCATGTAGTCATTATCTTTGATTTGTAGTTCTCAACTGTTTTTTTAGTAACTTTGTTAGTGTTGTTCAGTTGTCATTTACCTTCTAATCAGTGACTTTGTGTCTATTTTCAGTCATTATGCATCAATTTGTAGTCATTTATGTCTCTTTATGATTTTTTTGTCAGTTGTATCTCTTCTTAGTCGCTTTTGCGTCTCACTGTAATCGTTTTGATGACTGTGGCCTGGAATTACATCTGGCTGTTGCTCAAATCTTGCTCCTCCTCCTGCCCCTACAAACTGAAAGGATATTATTGTTGATGAAAAGAGAACTGTTTAATTTTGATCTTGTTTTTCCAGTTTGGGTTGTATTCCCAAGTGAGCCACCTGACACGGTCGGCTCCGTGCTTGTGATATTGTCTTCATCTTTTTCTTGAAGATTACTACTAATGCTTCCATTCACAGGGTGAGGAGAGGAATATTGACATTAGCACGATTTAAGATGTTGATTAAGCCAAGTTATTCTGCCTTGTAATAGAGTTTGGTGTTGTTTATGTGCTCAGAGTCTTATTTCCCAGGGGAACAACCTGATCCAGGCTGTTGTCTTCATGTATTGATGCAACTATCTCCTTTTAAATTTTCTTATCTTGATGTTTTCTTTTTATTAATTCATATCTAATTTAATACAAGGGTTGCATGAATAATTAAAGTGTTACTTGCATTTGCATGCAAATGAATAAAACTGCTTTTGGATTAATTTGGGTGTATAGATCCTGGTGAAAGACGTTTGTCAGCCAGCCAGTTCAATTAATGCACCCGTGTTCATCTTATGCTGCTTTTATTTGCTTTTCCACTTCTTATTCTTTGCTTATTACTGTTACAAGTACAATTTCTTCTCTCCCAGGACTAAAGTAGCACAAAATACTTCCTCCTGGAAACTGAGCTTTTGTTAAGAGAAGCTTACAATATTCCTCCCTATAACTGAAAATGCCCTGTGTCTCTTTGTGTCTATCAGAGATGGACTCCTTGCGTATTTTGCTCTACTCGCTCATCTTCCTGCTCAGCGTCTTCGGCAACCTCCTGATCATCGTGGTCCTGATGCTGAACAAGCGCATGCGGACGGTCACCAACTCCTTCCTGCTGTCGCTGGCGGTCAGCGACCTGATGATGGCCATTTTCTGTATGCCCTTTACACTTATCCCCAACATGCTAGAGGACTTCATCTTTGGAGCCACCATGTGCAAGATTGTCACCTACTTAATGGGTGAGCATGAGACTTTTGATACCAAACCTGAGCTGAACTGTACACTTTTAGTATATGAGGCATTTAAAGAGATCCACTTCCTGTGCTGTTTTTCAAAGAAGGGATCATCTGACCTGTGTGTTTGTAGGGACTATTTTAGGGTCTTTATCTTACAGTATAACATGCTCTGAGCAACTGTTTTTATAAACTGGTGCTACATAACTGAACTGCAAAGCTGGCTCATTATAAGAGCACAACACATCAAAAGCCATGATTGACAGTGAGGCGGATTGATGTAGGAAGGGAAAATGGATCACTGTCTTGTGTGCAGCAAACAACAGCAGCTAAACACCAGTGCAGAAGTCTCACACTCTAAAGAAATTAGTAAAAACAAAACCCACTGTAGTCACTACAATAAATGCTACCTGTTTAATGGATTTAGCTGAATGGGAGATGTGACATTTATTTGCCTGTGATGATCATCTATCGGCAGAGTGGAGCTTGGAAACCAAACAAATCCTCTGAGAGTAACTTGAAAAAGGGGTTTACAAGATGGAAGCAAGCCATATGCTAGCAGAGTGTAATCAAAAGCAGAGGAAAAGAACCAAAGAAGTTGTTTTATGTAAATATGAATACAGGTGGGCCTTGGCTCTATACTCATTGCTCATGCTCCAGAGTTGCTGCCAATTCTTTTGGATGCGTCAGCCATTGTGTGCTACTTGGAAGGTCAGTGGTTTATTCCCCAGCTCCTCCAGGCTACATGTTGAAGTGTACTTCCGCAAAATAATAAACCCCAGACTTTATGAATGGGTGAATGTGGTTTGTAGTCTAAAAAGTGTTTGAGTGCTCAGTTAGAGTTGAAAGGCACTATATATATATATATATATATTTGCAATTCAGGTGCACTACAGAAAAGGAGCCTGATGTTAATGTGACAGCTGGTAATCAGGGGATGAAGTGGGCCGGGATGATCCTGAACGGCATCTGACACCCTTATTAAGAGTTATTAAATCAGCCAGTTTGTTGTATAATATTGGTATTCCTTCCGGGCAATCCCATGCACTTACTCGTCCAACAAATCAGAAAGTAATGTCACCCCACAGTCTCACCTGTATACTCTACACATTCTTTTTTTCTCCTTCTCATCCCTACCATGCATTCATACAGACACCAATAAAATTGTGATCAAGTAGCTCAAGCAGGGTTGCTTTATTTTTCAGGAAAGAAAGATGTATGAAAGAGAGGACAGGAGGAGATATTGAATACATATTTCTATGTCTGTTTCTTCTTTTAGAGGAGAACTTCAGGCCATTGATTCACACAACAGAATTTTGATCAAGTTTCAAATGGTGACAGAAAGTCAGGTTAATAACACAGAGTGAAAAGCTGTGGTATAAACAATTCATGAATTCAATTACTTTATGCAAATAAAACTTTTATGATTTATGTATTTTTGCATGGAATAAGAAAAGTAAAAAGGCCACTTTTGTACGTGTAACTGTTGTGTTCCTGCTCTGTGTCTGACAATGAATGGTAAAAGAAACACAGACCTCCAAGTCATTAACTTGCCCGCTCCAGCTCCTACAACAAAATACAAACAGTATGGAAGAGGGTTAGCTTAACCCACCACAACTTCCAAGCCAGCAAGAAGGATCTATTCATGCTAGCATAGACTGTGCCTATAACACGTATGTGGCAGACATGTACTACACATTTACAGCATCTAGCAAAGACAGGCACAGTGATGACAATAATTGAACTAAAAACACAATCGGAAACATCAGGGTGGCTAAATATAAATTATATGTGTGTTTTACAGTGCTGGTAAAGAAATGACACCAACCTCTCCCACAGGGGAATTGTAGAAAAGGGGAGAGGCCAAAGGGTTACCCTGTATTTATAGGGTTGCACCGAAGAAGAAGAATGAGGAGGGGCTCTAACTGATAATGAACTACAGGCTTGGAGGTCCTAAAAATCAGGTATAAAAGGAACGGTTTGGGGTCTAGAACACATTTTGTGTAAATATAACAATATGTAATTTATGACCTGGTTACATACGGATTAGGCTCATTATTTCAGAAATCTTACACAACTAGCACAACCAGAATAAGGGAGAGTTTACATTAATGTGATTATTATCATGTTCTTTTTTTAAAATTAAATATATGAGATCCATTTGGTCATTGGGCTTTATGTGTTTTATTCTTCTAAAAGAGAAATCTGGCCTTCTTTTGTGACTCACAGCTGATCAGACCCTGTGATCCCCCTGCCTAAAATTGCTTGATATTTAACAAGGGTCTGTCTCGCAAAGAGGCTTTTCTCTTGGCTTGTTTTAACCATCACTCTGAAAGTGCTCGAACAGTCACACATCTTCAGGAGTGTGACTTAGCGATGAGCTGGCTCTCATCAGGCCAGAGTTGAGGTGCCACGTGAGGCCTGAGTCAGACTGAAAGCAAAAGAGAGTGCCACAAAACTGAGATAGACTGCAGTACTTTGTCTCTTTGCTCCACTTTGAGCTTTTGAATGGTCGAGAAACGATATCGAGCGGTAAGGATCGCAATCCTATTATTGTTTCAGAAATCCAACGTACCATCTGTGAGGACAGGCTTGCCGAATCTCCTTTTCAATTACTGGGCTCTCTCAGCTGTGATAAGGAGGAAGAGAGCAGGAGGGGCAGCTGCTTTGGACTTAAAATACAAACTTTTTGGTTTTTTGATCACTTTTCTTTAATTTTATGCTTGTTTTAGTTAAGCTACAAAGTAGTCTCATAATGAATGAGTGAAATGATGAAGCACTGAACCACAGGAATTAGCATGGTGTCTTCTTCTGCAGATGTTGATCATTCTTTGCTGCATCTATGCAAAAAAACTGTCAAAGCATTTCATTTTCTCCCTATGAAATGATTAAGATGTCTTAAAAGATGATGAGGGAACTCTTCTAGCAGGGTAATGCATTTGAAGGAGTCACTCTTGGTGAGATAACCTCAAATGGTCTACAGCGTTACCACTAGTCTTTCTATTCTCTGGATTGGACATGGTTGCTAACATGTCACTATACCTAGTCAAAAAATATGTATTGTGTACACGTTTGTACACCCATCCTTCAGAATACTGCTCATTATAATGCACCGATCAGACACAACATTAGAACCAGGTGAACTGAAATACAGTGATCATCCTGATACATATTCAGTTTTGTGCTGCTGATCAGTACAGCACAAGCTTTTTTTATTGAAAGGTGAAGACCATAAAATATAAGAGCATAACTGTAACTATCCAAAACTAGAGACAGTGGGGAAAAACAAACTCCCTTTTAAGAGGAAGAGACCTCCAACAGTAAAGTAACTGCTGGCACACCAAGAGGCCATCTCTTATTAATACACTTTATCGCCAAAAGTATTGTCTGCCTTCAAACTCACGTGAAATCGAGTTAAATCCCATTCTTAATCCATTGAGTTTAACATGATGCCACATCACCCTTTGCAGCTACTGTATAACAGCTTCAGCTTTTCTGGGAACGCTTTCCACAAGGTTTGGGAGTATGTTTATGAGAATTTCTGGCCATTCTTATAGAAGCAAATTTATGAGGTCAGACACTGATGTTGGACAAGAGTCTAGAGTCCAGTGGCAGCATGGTTTGTACCAGTTGGTCAGCCATGGAAACTCGTTCCATGAAGCACTCTACCTGCTGTTCTTGAGCTAATCTGAACTCTACGTGAAGTTTGAAGGTCTGTAGTGATTGCCTCTGTAGAAAGTTGGTGACCTCTGCTGACCCCGCTCTGTGAATTTACATGGCCTAGCACTTTGTGGCTGAGTTGCAGTCTTTCCCAATTTCTTCCAGTTTGTTATAATTCCACTAACAGTGGACTGTGAAATAGTTAACGGCAAGGAAATTTTATGACTCATGACAGTTTCATGACAGTATTCACTGAGCTCCTGAGAGCAATCCAATCTTTCACAAATGTTTGTAGGAGCAGCTTGCATTCCTAGATACTTTATTTTATACACCTGTGGCCATGGAAGTGATGGGAACACCCATCACCATGGATAGGTGATTTAGCAGCATAACTGCAGAGTAGTTTAAGGCCACCGGCTTCAAGTCCAACTATCTAAACTAATTAATCTTTATCAAAAGACTGATTTTAAAATTAGAACTGAGAGCTGGTTCCACAGGAGAAGAGTGTGATAGCTGAAAGCTCTGCCTCTCATTTTGTGTTTGGAAACTCAAGGAAGTCTTTTATTGGATAATATGAATTTAATAAAAGATAACATTAATTCATCAGAACATTGTATTTGAAGGGATGATTTTTCATTTTTCAACGAACTTTTACGACACCCCAACTCAGCACCTAATCTCTCCATTTAAATTGTGGTCTGATTGGATTATTGCCACAGACACATGACTGGACTGACAAGAAACCAAACTTCTGTCAGGCCAGTTCATATTTGATGCAGTACAATTGAAATCCCAGCAGTCATAGCCCTGGTCTCATCAGGCAGTGAGATCAGAAACTAGTGAAAGTTAGAAAACGGGAACAGATATTGAGAGAAAAGGAGAGGAAGGACCTGAGCTCAGTCTTGAAAAACAAAGTGTTATTCATAATTTCCTGTCTTAAAGAGTCCTATTAACAGTCAACTTTCTTTTTGGCATTTCCTCTATCCCCCTATTATAGTTGCTTGTCATATTGAGAGCTGTAGTTTTTTTGTTTTTTTTGTTTTGTTTTAAACATTTGATTTTTCTGCCATTTTTGGGTCATGTGTTTGACCTATGGTTGTATTGAATAATTTCTTAAACCAAGATTCTGAACCCTGCAATGTCTAAGAAGATGGCAAGTGCTCTGACCCTGTCCCTGTATTTAGGCAAGAATGGTTTTCTATTTACTGAGGGTTAGAATCCATTCATTTTCTATTCATCTCTGAGGCCCAGTGGCAGCAATCTAAGCAGAGCTGCCCATGCCTCCTTCTCCTCAATCACCCATCATTTAGGATAAACAAGCTGTTTTCAGGGCAATCGAGAGATGT